AATTATTCAATGTTATTCAATTAATGTTAATATTAAAATAATATTAATATATTAAATAAAATATGGCTAACATAATGAAATGCTTCAAACAAAGTCTCAGATTTCACCACATGTCATAGAAACAAGTTTGATCATGACAGTAAATTACATTTGATTGCAGCACTTCCATGTACAACACTTTGGGTGTGATCAGTCTAACAAAGCCGTAAAGCGTTGAGCCTTCTTAGAGAAACTGGATTACAGCAGCAACTCACACACTCACAGTAATTAGTAAATATAACACCAAACAAAAGTCAGCGCTGGGTTACAGACCTCATACACGCAGTAATACAGGCACTAAAATGGACACAAGAACATTCACAATGTTAGGGGAGATTTGTCGGCAGCACTACAGGTGAACTCTTACCAACTCCCTCCTGTGAAGGATCTTGGGAGCTCGATCCTGAGGACTCTGAATCTGATTGGCTATCTGCTGAGCCAATGAGCTCACTCCGCCCGTATACATCTGAATGTAGCTCTACAAATCAAAAGATGAGCATGGAAAACAAGCAGGAATGCAAAATGCTTCAGAGATGAAAACCATCACAAAGACAAAAGAAATGATGTATCAATATTCATATGAGAGCATAAAGGTGTGGAAATGACAGATTGGTCTTAGAAAAAAGAGAAAGGCAACAAAAATGAATACTATAAAGATAACCATAACAACAGCTATATTAATGTCCACACCAATGGGCAATAATTTATTATATAAGCACGCTCTTCAGTTATGACGTCTGCCGCTTTAAACACTTGAGTGCTTTAAAGTCTAATTGGTTTTTGATTGGATTTTGGCTGTAAATGTTTTTATCATTCATCAACTGGGAAAAAAATCATTCTGAAAGTGATTTTGACAGTGAAAGTGTATCTATCTATCTATCTATCTATCTATCCATCCATCCATCCATCAATAAATCAATAGAAATAAACCTGTCAGTCAAAGGCAAAGTCAGTAAGAAGCATAGAGGATTAGATAGAGATAATAAATCATTCTGCCTGAGATTCTTCAGTTAAGACCCTCAAATCACATGTCCCATGGCCTCCAGTCACTGATAGGCTGTAGAGCCCCAGGCCAGTTCACACACAGAGCTCCTTCATAACAGTCCCAGAGACCAAAGAAGCTTAAAACAGAACCAGATTAGCCATTAGTATACAAAAGTGTACACTACTGGACCAATTTTATTTTATAGCACAGGTGTGTTTTTACCTTCTCGCTTTAAATTGGCAGAGTGAACTTTGACCTTTTTCTTGTAGCGGAAACTCGTCAGCTCCTGCTGTGTTGTGTGCTTTTTCTTAAGTAGGGTTGGTGGACATCAAAATGTTAATTCATTGTAGAGTAAAAATTCCCGGTGCAGTCTTCTAATGCCGCAGTTGTCACTGTCAATCACCTAAATGGCTTTTAATCTAATAAAACGCCTTATAACTGCCTAGAGGCTTTGCCAATTCTAGTTCACCCTGTTAAAGTGTGTATGCTAAGTTTGTGCAGGAGCCACTCTATGAATCAGCAGCTTTCGCTGATGGGCAAGGTAAGCTAATTCACTCAATATTAGGAAAACATCACAAAATCTCATGACTAACAGAGGCATTGTGACATTTTATCACAACTAAAACAAAATACTCCATCTTTTATCAAACATGGTGATTTTTTTTTGTTGAGTGACTATAAGACTGTTGTTAATCAAGTCAGATTGACACGATGAAGCATTAAATCCTTTCTCCTGCTTAGTTTTTTTTTTTAAAACAAAGCAACTTTGAAAAGAAAAGTTGTGTTGCACCTCGTCAGGACATGGTGTAACTTAACTTGAAAACAAATATATGTATGCACAAGCAAACACACCTTTATACAGGTAAAAGCACACATGCATCACACAAATACTCACACACCTGTCGGCGTGTTGCAGTGGCTGAGGCCGACAGTGAGTTCTCCTCAAATTTAGCCAGCAGTAGCGTTGCCATGGACCGAACCCTGCCGTGACCCTCAGCGACCTTTGGTTCTGAACCAGGAGTTGCTTCTGAAGTCTTATTTTCTTTGGTATCATGAGGAACGTCCTCCTATATCAGGAAAATATCACAGATAATCAACATAAACTTTATTCTTAACGGATGAAAAAACTACAGTATATATACTATAGTGTACATATACAGGTACATATACAGTACAGTATACAGTACTACTATATATATATATATGTGTGTGTGTGTACCTGTTTTTCTATTCTGGTGGGGACTTAAACCTGAATACACACAGACTCATGGGGACTTGTGTCACGGTGGGGACCTAAATTGAGGTCCCCATGGGTAAACAAGCTAATAAATCACACAGAATTAAGTTTTTTGAAAATCTAAAAATACAGAAAGTTGGAAAGTAGGTTTAGGTGTAGGGTTGGTGTAGGGCAATAGAATATATGATCTGTACATTAGAAAAAGCATTACGCCTATGGAGAGTCCCCAAAAGGATAGCAAACCAGACATGTGTGTGTGTGTGTGTGTGTGTCAAAACAAATTACCTCCTCTGACTGGCCAGTCTGGCTTGTTCTCCTCCTCTTTCCAACACTATCTGCTTCCTTCTCTTTCTTATCCTGAAAAACAGCACATCTTAACATATGGGTAACGGCTGATAAAAGACTGTTGTGTAATTGTGTGTGTGTGTGTGCGTGTGTGTGTGTGTGTGTGTGTGTGTGAACCTTGGGATTGCGTTTGCGGGACAGACTCTGTCCCAGTTTGCTCAGCAGTGAGATGGGTGACCTGGTGCTGGAGAACAGAACAGCTTTCTCTTCTGAGCTCAGGTTTCCTGTTCAGAGAACAAAAAGTGTGTATATAAATAAACATAAAAGGTCAAAAATATGACACAAATAAAAATAAAATAACAGATAATGTCCTATCCTGACCACCAGCTGGCGCTGTGTCTTTGAGGAGCTCATAAAGTTGACTGAGGTACATGACCATGCTAAGAGAGTCACTCTCTTCCAGTGTGCTCATCTCCTTTCCGGTCATTATAGGACAAATACCAAATTCCTGCTCCGCCATGTCCAAACCCAACTGACCATTGAGCTCCGCCTCACTCTCCTCCAGAGATGCAAAATCACTGCAAGAAACAAAGACGCTAGTGTCAGAGTCACACATTCAGAAAACCTCAATGCAATAAAACAATCAGCCCACACTTTTAGCTACTAAATTTCCTTTTGACGGACTGAAAGCACCTTTATTAAAAATTAGCTTGAGCCCATCAATATAATAGTATATTAATATATAAACATTTATTTAAAAGAGTTAATAAATACTAAATAGATCAATAATGAAATATGTCAACAAATACACAAGTCTGATGGAAAATGTCACCTACATGTAATTTATATATTTATTGACACATTTAATGATTTGGATTTTATTTATTGACATACATTTATTTAATAACTATATAGTGTCAATATATAATTAACTATAAATGTCATATATAATTTAAGAAATCATAAAATGTGTTATATTTTTTATTGACACATGATCTATTTATTTATTTATGCTTTTAATTAAATATTTATTAATATGGCACTCTTAAATCCTCTAGTCCAATAGAAAATGTAATTTACATGCGATTTATTCATTGACAAATTTCCTATTTTTTTTAATAATGTGAAGAAATAAATAACTACACTTCAATAAATAAATAAATAATAAAATATGTATTTATATTATCACATAATTAAATATATTATTTTATAAATATAACATTTAATAATATGTAATATATTTATATGCATATTTATTTATTGACTCATTTCATGATTTATTTAGCTACTGATGATTTTAATGAAATATTTATTAATATGGCACTTCCGAATCCTCCATAAATAATTTTTTTTACTAGATGTACATATTTAAAACAGTCCCTTCTGGGAAGCAGACCAAAGATATTGGTGCCACAGTCACGTCATATACATTTTAATCCAATAAAATGCTATCAATAGAAAGCAGCAACTCATAGTTTTGCCAACCTGTGAACTAAACCAGGTTACCAGCCCAGATCTTTTACCACTATGCCACAACCCTCATTCATACCCAGAGTAAAGAGTGTGAACTCACATGAGGTCAGGTCTGAATCTGTGAATGAGAGCGCACAGGGCCAGGCCGCTCCTCCAGGAAGTTGTGAAGTCCGTCACACACACGTTCATGTAGCCGTGTGTTTGCTCTTGACACCAGCTCAGCAGCTTACTGTAACGAGCCACTGACTCTACACACACAGACAGCATGTTAGATTGTGTATGAATGTATATGTGGGAGATGGTATATATGAAGTCACACATACCTTGGCGTGTAAGTCTTGGGTGTGGAGAGCTGACTGCATCAAGGCTCAAAACTGGACCCTCACCTGTGTCTATGAGATGACACACCTGTACACACATGTTCAACATCATCATGATCACAATCACTGATTGTGACTTGATTAGAACTGCAGGTTTCTAACCTGAGCAGCGCTGATGAGTTGCATATTGATGTTGGGATAGCGGCTAGCAGGATCCATGCTGTACTGGCTGTGGTTTTTACTGACGTTTTCTGGTGTTGTCTGAGGAAGCAGCCGATACACACTCTCTCTGAGATGGGGAAGAAACGGAGGGGGGTATTAGAACAGAATCCTAAATTGTCAAAACTGTTTGTTCATAAATCTGCCTTGACTTCATTCAGACTCTGACCTCTCAGCCAGAACCTGTGAAGGGGTGTTGCCCTGACCCCAGCTGCGAACCATCCAGGCCGTGTCCATGGCTGCCAGGAAGCCCCGAGCAATTCCTGTACCCATTGGCCAGAACGGCTATAGGAAAAAGAGCTGTGTAAATACACTAAAATGCCTAAAATTAGCAAAATCAGAGCAAACAACTCATGAAAATATCACAGATGTTTTCAGAATGTTATTATATTATTAGTTATTATATTACAATAACTAGTTTTAGTGACTAATTTTCAAAACATTTTAAATTTAATTGATAAAACTTACCAAAATTAGTTATGAAATGTATTATTGAGTGTCAAAATACATTTATATTCTTTAAAACAAGGGATACCAAAAACTTGATCATTATGATATTATGGTCAAAATAATTGCAAATTAAAATTGTATACTATTTTTATATATATTTTTTAATTTTTATATAAAAATAAAATCAATCACTGTAAATGCTGCAAATGAATTTAGGCATCAAAACATTATAATATACATTGCTATGTATGAAAAATATGGATATTCATTTTTGAGATTTAATTAAAAAAAATGAATATGGATATTCATTTTGAGCTAAAAAATAAAATTTAATAAAAAAAAAAATAATATGTTGAAATATAAATTATGCATTTAATATAAATGTATTTATTAAATTATGAATGATTTTGTTGAATGTTAGGTAGTGCAAACGTATTCTAAATGTGAAATGTACATTTAAAAATATATATATATATTAAGAAGTGACAATTATATATATATATACACACACACACAGATAAGGATACCGAAATGTTGTGCATTCCTACCAAAAGCAAGCCTTAATATCTTATGCAATATTTCTTCTTGTTTTAAAGTAATTTAGACTTTCTCCAGGAAATAAGGCAAAGAAACGTATTAATAGTAGCATTTTTTTAAAGTGATCTTTGTTCTCTCACCTCTAGTAAACTATCCCCCACCAGAGCGACCAGCAGAGGGTGTCCCCCGCGCTGACGGACCATCGCTGCGTTCTCAGAGGCGTACATGCAGGTAAAGTCAAACATAGCCACATCTGGCTGCCCATAGTGGTTGATGGCAAAGTTCAGCATAGGGAGCTGATGGTTGGTGGAGAAATCAGCTGCTTCACGGGCGTATAAGAGCAGTGCATTCTGGTCCACGTTATTCCTGGACAGTAGCATCTCAGTGTCAGCATAATCCTGCAAAAAATACACAAGCGAATAGTCACACAAAAAAGCAGTATGAAATGCAGATTTATGCACACAACATTAGACTCACGCGCAGAATGACTCCTTTCTCCAGAAGACTTTGTTTTTTGGCGGTCATTACAAAGTAATGAGTGTCATCTTTGTAATATACTATATTCTCTAGATCAATTCCTGCACAGAAAAGATGTTGACTGAAACTCATTATTGTTTACATAATCGTAAACACATTAACACATGATAACTCATTCATATTTGAGAAGACAAAGGTGCTTAACTATAAAACTACAAAAATGTATATTAGTTGCTTAAAATACATTTGAGTGCAATACATGAGCTTTTGGTATCTTTAAAGTGTAGTGATGTTTTAGTTACAATGAAATAATTGAGTACCGGTAGCCTGCCGGAGGTCCTGGAAAAACCTCTGGTTGAAGATGAAGGCAACACCACTGATCTCCTCCACTTTAGCCTCGGCGGTGGTGTTGCGATTGATGAAATTCGCCGTGATGGCAATGGCCAGTTTCCCCCGAAACTCCTTTCTGCGAAACCCTAACAGACCCAGACAAATAAAACCATCATAAAGAGGCTTTGAAACCCAGAAAATGAATGTAGCGTCTGCGTAGAATCATGCATGATCTTTGGGTTTTATGGCTTAAGAGACCCTTTTAGCTTTTGACATTTGCATATAAATTACAGTCCTGGTCACAGACGTTACACTTATATGGGTGCTAAATGTCAAATGGTTCCCCCCCACTCTCAAAGAGATGCTAAACAGTTTCACCACTCGCGCCTTCATTTGGAGTTTCAAACACATTCCAAAGAGACGTAAATGACCCCCGGGGCCAGGCACAATGGGCCTGGCTGACCAAGCAAACTAACAAACACACACACGTAAAGACCTTTACTCTATTTAGACAATAATTGAGCAGTTACAAATATATCTGGTATATTGCATGTGTTGTTCATTCTGTATATATGTGTTTTGCTTAGTTAGTTATATGTTATATATAGTTTCATTTATTAAATCCCTTATATTCACACATGATTGTCTCTGTTGCTGCTCACAATTCAAGTCAATGAATGTTCCAACCCTTGCTACATTTGTTAAATTACTGCTAGCACTGCATAAATGAGGAAAGTTATCCTTCTTTGGCCAGGAAAATAATCTTTCTTTGAATTGATAAATGATTATTTTGTCTGCTCGGTGGACGGACAGATCAAGTAATGGCAATATTGATTCTGCTACAGTTAATTCAAAGATCTAATCTAAATATTTATTATGAATCATAACCAGTTATAATTCGTCATAAATATTTCCCTTTTGAGCTTGAAATTACTACATGAATTAGTGACGTCTAAAACAGGGTAAAATTAGAATAGGGGAACTGTCTGTTATAGATGACGGTGAAGCATGTGATATGCTTCTTGCCACAGTTAGTCACTTTTCAAGCATTTGATGTTCTTCAGTTCATGATGACATTGCACAAGATATATTTTTTTTTACTTCAGTATTTCAGTCCTTCAATAACTGTTATGTGTCTTTATATTATATTTTGACATCACAGTCATGATAACAAGAGACATTTAATATAAAAAAGCTTTTCATTCTAGTATTACACAATATATTTTCCTTAATATATTCCTTAATGTTATTTCTGGACGCCGATATCTGGCCGATAAATCACAAATACATCATATATTATCTCATTCAACAGTGTAGGTAAGTTTTTAAAGGGGTCACATGATGCGATTTCAATTTTTCCTTTCTCTTTGGAGTGTTACAAGCTCTTGGTGCATAATGAA